TTTATTAAATATATCGGGAAGCTCCAGAGATTTTGGGGCTGGTAATAAAGAAGATGGGAATAAATATAAGATTGTATGAGGTGACTTGAGTGAAGGTTCAGTAAAATCCTGTAATTTCCTGTGACATTTTTTACCAGCTGGCTTGTTAAAATCACAAAATACATGAATTCTAACTGGACTTAATTGGAATGGACTGATTTTTTTTATACATACTAGACTTATTTTTTTACAATATAAGATTGCTTTTTCTTGTGAAATGGCACAAAAGAGATATTTTAAATGGAATTAAATATGTATGTAGGTAGTTAAATGTGATGATGCAAAAGGAACTAAGAGGATTAGGGTTATCAAATAAGAACTGGTTTTAACCTGTGGGGGAGAAAAGTTTAGTTTTATTTGTATGTAGCATTTTAAGATTTAATTTATTCCGTTTTTATAGTTTGTGTAAATAATGCTTTTATATTATGACTAGTTTCTATATTTGTACTGGTAAATACATTTACTACAGTAAATTATTTTCAGAAGGGCTCATTTGAAAGGATCACGGGAACACCCCAACCCAAAAAAGTGTTGTTTTTCTTTTTACTTTGTAGAGGTACTCTTGAAGTTTCAACTTAATCTATCTAAAACTGCAGGGATCTTTTGGGAAAAACCCACATCCTGACATCTTAAGACAGTTTTGAAAAGTCTACTTATTGGCAGGCAAGTAAGGTTTTTTCTCTTTACCATTTGTTGAACTCCAAATACGTGATAAAAAAGAACTAAGAGGTGTGATTCCTCTATACATCCATTCATCCTCTGTGAGTTAAACAAATTGACTCTTACAAAAGCATCATTTAAACAGAAAGAGCATCCCAGGGAGGCAAAACTCAACATGCCTCTGGCCATCATTCCCCTAACATCACATAAACACAATAAAAACAAGATTTTTGCCTTGGGAATTTGTAACAGTGTCCTTGTTTATGAATGCCTTTCTGCTCAGGTTACATGGGAACCGGAGGATTCATAGCCGTTTATGACAATATTCATAATAAAACCTTAAAATTCCCACAGTGCATCAGTTTAGTGGCACCAGACTTCAAGGAAATATCTCTCTTGTTTTCCCACATTCAAAATATAACCTTATTTGGGAGTTGAAATGGGAATTTACCTGGGATTACTCATATTTATACTTTTAAAACAAGTTAAACATCGATCCTGCTAAATTTACTGTGATATATTTTCCGTTTTTTTATGCTGAGCAGAATAAAAATAAAAAGTGAAGATAAAATAAGTGAATATTCCTGTATATTTTATGGTGTTTTCATAATGTGACACATTTGCTGTTTTTGCATGTTCTCCCTCTGCCGTTTAATACCACAGCAGTCATTCTATAATAAATGACATGAGGGCACTTAATGTGAAACTGAGGAGGAGGGAGGGGAGGTTATAGTCTGTACCGGCTGTGTGCGGATGGCAATAGGAACTTAATGTTAATCTTAATGACAGATGATAGAGCATGCAGCATTCCACCACAGTGTGTGTGACAGTGTTATTGTCTCTATGATTAACTCAGCCACGTTCTCAGACCTTTCCCCCGAGAAAGAACCAGAGATTAAGCATAAATAGAAGTACCAATGTTTAGTTCTTCATCAAGAAATGCTCTTTGCTTTTGTCCACCTTCATTTCCTCTGTATGCCTACCCCTCTTGCTTCCCCCCCCCCCCCTTTCTCTTTGGGGCCATTACTGGTGATAAACACTGCAGTTTCTATCAGCAGGATGCACCTGGCATTAACGTGATCGCTTAAGAAAGTAATTAGTGGGCGTTTGTGCCTCCTCTCCTCCCTGTAGATGCCCATAGGCGGTGTAATAAATGAGCACAGAGATCCATAGGAATAGAATGGCAGCGGTTTCTACCAGCACTGCCATCATCGTTCAGCACCCTGACACAGAGCAATGGTCCTGTCATGTGTTCTAGCAAATGGCTGAATCTCACACTGATACATCAACAAATGCAAAATGTTTCCCGCTCCCACTAGTGTAATGTTCCACTCTGTATTGCAAGTGGTAAATGTTGGGTATTATTTGAGGTGTAGACCCACACTAAAAAATTGAATTCTTTTTTTTTTTTTGTTCAGTGTGTTGGGAAAATGTCTAAGTATAGGTGACATAGCTCAGCTCAGCCATAGACCACAAGACTGGCTTGGGAATAAAGTTTTAATTATTCTTCTTCTATATTGTGACCGTTTGTCAGTAGGTTGTGCTGATGGAGACTATAGATTTTTTTTGCAGCACTGCAAACCAATAAGACCATGTGGTGATGCACATATGTACTCATCTCCATTGCAACAGCTTCCTACTGCATTGCACCCTGAGTAATGACCCATGCATCCAATCCCCCACTTTGTATCCAACAGGGGGTAATTTCTCTCTCCAGGATGCAAATCAAACATCTGATTCTGACTACGGGGGCCTGGCTTCACCGCTCCATATTCCTTGGAGATGTCCAGAGTTGCTGGCAGGCAAAATCCCTTTGCCTTTCACACCCATGCAAGGCGTGTTTAGTGAGGCAGATGCTGAGTCCTGAGCACTGATGTGAACAAAACGATGACACCACCATTAGCATAATAGGCCAATAGGCATGTGCATGCGTAGTCATTATGGATTTTTATGGGGTGTGTGAAGAGACAGACAAAAGCAGTTAACGCTGTGCAAGACACCAGTGCTGGTGGGACATCCTGCTGCCAGGACTGGATAAAACACTCTGCTCCTGCATGCATTTAGCCAGAAAGTATCATTTAAATACACTAAGGCTTAGCTTTATATCTATAATGCAGAACTCTAAATCACATCAGTTGTATTAGCAGCAGATGATACTGTAAGAAAGGACTAACAGGACAAGTTTAAGTATGAAGCACACAATCTACTTAGGTAATGCAGGTCAGATCATCCTTGATGCATCTGTACATTTCTGTGCTGATGATACAGTTGCTTACTGTCGAGCTAAAACAGTTGCTAAGGTTTTCCAGCTTTCGCAATCTGCTTTCGACATCATGCAGTCTGCTTTGTTCCGTCTCAAACTTGTCCTAAATGCCTACAAAGCCAAAGGGATGTTGTTTTCAAACAGGAAATTAGTACCAGTAGTCCTTCCCTGGATTATATATTCGAATGGTGTTCTTATTGAGTTTGTCGATTCTTACAAATACTTGGGTATCTTGGTCGATTAAAATCTCTCTTTTAAGCCCCAAGTTGAAAACTTTGTAAAGAAACTGAAAGTTAAACTGGGTTTCTTTTTCAGAAATAGATCCTGTCTAACTCTGAATGCTAGGAAACTCCTTGTAACGGTGACTCCTTCCCTCCATTGACTATGGTGACATCATTTACATGAACGCTCCTGCAAGCACCCTGCAGATGTTGTACGCTGTTTATCACGGTGCACAAAGATTCATAACTGGCTGTAACTACCGTACCCACCATTGCACCCTATATTCACTGGTTAACTGGTCATCATTAACTTCACACGGACTCTCCCACTGGTACATTTTCATCTTTAAATCACTTCTTGGTCTGTTGCTTTCATACATCTCCTACATGTCACTGTGTGAGTGCAGCTACAGCGTGCGCTCTCAGGACATTATTACATGCAGTGTTCCCTCAGTGAGGACTGAACTAGGCAAAAGGGCCTTCTCCTACTCCGCTCCTGTTTCCTGGAACACCTTGTAAAAAGATCTGAAGATCTCGACCTTGACCTCTCTAAGTGGCTTCAAATAACTGCTAAGTTCATGGCAAAAAACAACTTTTTAGTATTTTACATTGCTAATGTTTTTTTATTTATTTATTTTTTTTTTACATAATTTTCTTCCATTTATTTATTTATTTTCAATTTATGTCTTTTTTTTTAGATTGTCTACTGTTGTCTTTGTCATCTACTGTTGTCATCATTCTTTGTTAAAATCAAGTCTCTTGTAAATGAGTCCTCGAGGCTCAATGAGACACCCTGTATAAATAAAGGTTGAATTGAATAAACAGACATATTAGCATGTCCATATATAATGTCCATATTAATACCAAAATATTGTTGTTGTTTTTTTTATTACTGTGAAGCATTCTTAAGTGTCATTTGCCCAGCGTGTGAGTAGTTGGCACCCCACAAGCTATAACAATTATTCGATTTTCAGTCACCTTTTCAGTTTTAGCTCCTAAACTGTGGAACCAGCTGCCCCTTCATATCAGACATGCTTCTGTTCATTGTTTTTGGTCTTATTTTTAAAAACATATTTACTCACTAGCTTTTAATACAGCATGACAGCTGACAGGTTAGCATCATTTTAATGGTTTTTCTTTATCTTATATTTTAATTGTTTTCATTTCCGTTTTGTTTTATAGTCTCTTGTGTTTGGTGTTAACTTTTTACTATATATTGTTTTGTGTGCAGCACGTTGGCCAATGGCAGCTGTTTTTAAATGTGCCATAAAATGCAGTTAATTTGACACACACACATTTTTAAATGCTTTGCAGTCCTGTATCACCGATGACTCATTTTTTCATGGCAAAGAAGTTGTTATAGTTTTTTTGGGAAACTTTCTGGCCTCTCTGGTGATGTGTTGTGGCGCATACAGCAGGTTGTGAACCTTTAACCTTCCTTTCAGCAGATACAGGATTGGTGAGTCTTGCCTCAGGTGTTTCAGGCAGGAATGACAGTAATAATAAAGGCAGGGGGGTGCACACACTGTTGTCTACAGTGCTTCTCAGGCTCTGACTACATGACCTCTCGAGATAAAGCTGTACATTTATGGTTCAGCTAGCATTATTTTTTTGTTCCTTACTCTCAGGTTTTATGTCTTCCATGCGTATTATCGAAACCTCTTCACAGCTTGGTTTTATGTGTTTCATTTTACATTTTGTGTTTCCCTTTTTTACCACAGTCCAACCTTTGATTTTATTCCCCCAGTCTCCCCCTCCTTTTAAACGCTGTATTTTCTCTTTTCACACTTGTTGGTTTCTCTTTCTCGCCCCTGCAGGAGGTATGAGGTGTATCCTGTGTGTGCAGACCTTCAGGGCCAGATCCTAGCATGCTACAAAGGAAACGTTGGAAAAACCTTGAATTGCTCCAACATCGCAGCTCTTTACCTTCAGTGTGTTAACAATGCCAAACAGGTATGTGTTGTCTGAACTATTTGTTTTAAAATGTTTGATTAATTTGTTACTTCCATGTAAGTGATGTGTAAATTATTTCACCCTCTTACTGTAGTTGATTGAACTATGATATTACCGGTAGATTGGTAAGGATTATTTCTGACACGGCTGTATTACAGATTATCTGTATTTTAGAGGGATGCAATTAAAGCTGTAATTTACACTAATCAGCCACAGCAGCAAAACCATCTGCCTAATACAAATAGGTTCATGTGCCAGACCCATCAGGACTTCTTGAGGTGTTCTGTTGTCTTTGGCACATTGGCAGGAGATTCTTTGGGTCCTGAGGGAGGGGGGTGGTGCCTGTGTGGATGGATCTTGTTCCAGTGCATTGCGGGGATGCTCAATTGGATTGGGATCTGGGGAGTTTGGAAGCTGGGTTAAGCTATTTTTTTGTATTTATCAAACCCTACCTGAGCAGTTTTTGTGGCAAGGTAAAGCAAATTATCGTACTGATAAAAGCTGCGGCACATCCAGTGAGGATTTGCCCAAGGAGAAATGCATTTCTTCATTATTTATATGAAAGCTGTATATATGAGAAATGTCAAGACAGAGGGTTTCCCAATATGAAATATTTGATTATTAGTATTAGTTTTCATTCAGTCTTTTTAGTTTAAAACTGTACAGGAAAATCAAAAAACTACAAAAGTTATAATGCAAATAAAAAAGTCATACTCCTTTTAAAGTTTTATTTTCTGTGGTTGTGTGTTAAGAAATGTCTATTTTTGATCATGAACAACTGGGCAATAGAAGATTGAAATGTCAATATTTTGATTTATTTTGCCAAATTTGGGTGCAACTCTTGGTATATTTGGATTAAAACCAAACTAGTGTGGTGCACTTGATTTATTTGTGTTTTTATATTACTGATCAGGACATTGAGATTCTTGATCATTGCTGGAAAAGTACATATTCTGTTTAAATCAATAAAGTTGCTGCTTTCTGTAAGTTTTGCTGTAAATTATCATGGAAAACAAAGAATGCAGTTTCACTTCAGTTATTCCAAATAATTACAAATGACCATATTTTTCCCCTTTGAAAGAATGACGAGCATGCACGTTCCTGGCCAGACAATATGTAAGTTCTTGATCTGGTAGATTTCTGTGAAGTGGAATTAGTATGTAGCCCCTATGTGTCTGATAGCTGCAGAAAATGTCACTAGACTCATAGAAAATATGCGAAAGGTACACCAGATTGTTCAGGGTTTTTTTTATTGTCTGAATAAATTTATATTGTTTACACACTTTGCATGCATACACACTGACATCTAATTACACTACACATGTCTGCTGCTTGCTTTTAGACTGCGGAATGTAATTTCCAGCAGTTTACCGGCACCTGAATAAAGCTTGCTTTAAATAGCCAGTACGAACCTTACAGTCTATTTCCATAATACCTGCTGACACAGGCGTTCCCCCGACTGTTTCTGTGTATGTTTTAATGCAATAAGTCCAAGAGTGCAGCAACTACTGGTTGAACATCCTCGTCCTCTCTGTGCTTTCTCTGTTCATTACTGAGTGCAAACGTTGTTTTTTTTTTCACTCTCCATCTCCAGCAGTCAAAACAGTACAGTTATAGTAATGTCACTCAGGTTGATATTAACTTGATTTCCCTTCTCTCACATTGCAATATGTAACATCCGTTGCCCCCCAAAAAGACTCAATTTGCATTCATAGAGTTTTTCTATTAGATTTTTTGCAATTGCATTGTTTTCCTGGAAATGGGGAAAACTGAGTTTTGCGTCTCCCGGTCACTCTCGTGGGTATTAGTATTAGATCTAAAAGTCAGATGCAGGCAGATTTTTGAGCTATACATCATGTAAATTGCGCAATGTTTTATTCATTCCATAAACGTGTGTGTTTGTGTGCATTTGTGTGCACGTTTAAAAAAAAAAAAAAAAAAAGCTTACCTGTACCCTCGTCAAGATTCAGCAAGGGTATATTCACATTCTGGAAGCTGTTATGATCTTTTAAATTGTTTGGAAGCGAGCCTGAGACGGTATGGTAATCGGCTTGTGTTTATCAGCCGGCAGCAATCACAGCGCACTCCTGTTCATCTGCGCTTATCTGTCTTAAGACTTGCTTTTAAAGTCATTAGGTGCAAAAGAGACAGTTCTGTGATAAGGCGTTAAAGGAATAATGTGCAGAATTACTCAGCAAACAGAAAAGGGGGGGAAGCAGTGAAGTAGGTTTGATCTGAGCTGATGCAGCTTAATGATTAGGATGTTTATTCAGCTTTATCGGCGCCAAGCAGGAAGCTGCTTCAAGAACAAATGCCAAAAGGACATGACTTTTAGCTTTGGAGGTCAACACATCCAAACATGACTTCTAACAGTCACCTCTTGCCCCCTTAGTCAAAACCAAAATCTGTCCTGGCTCAAAGAGTTTTCTCCTCCATTTTTTGCTTGTTCTCCAAAGCCTGTATTTGACAAAAACCTGCACATCTGTTGAGATAGGAATGTCTAGGATGCCATCTCACCGAGGATAAGATCCCAGTCCCCAAAATCTAATTTTTACAATGCTGACCCCTCGACTGGCATCAGCCAAGACAGAAGCATTGTCAGCTGTCTGGCCTTTGTCGCTGATAATTAGCCTTGTTATCACAGCGGTCACTGATAACATTTAGACCCATTTTTGCTCTCTTTTGTGGTCTCCTCACCCTGCCACCATACTTCCTTCTCTCTCTCTCCGTCCACCATCCCTCCATCCCAAGTCACATTTCTAATGCATTCGGCTCTTAACAGGTCTGATAGCAAACGGGGAGAAAGAGGCGGCCAGAGGACAGATAAAGTCTCCTCTCTCTTCTTTTTCTTCTCTCTCAGTGAATAGGAGTTTATCACTGAGGCTGATCTCTCTATCCACTGCTTGCCACCTCATTCCATATTCTCGCTGCATGACTGCCTTTTGCTTCCTATCTTTTTCTTCTCCACTTTATTTTTTAAGGCTGACCCTTCCGTCTCCCTGTCACTCTCAAAAGGCTGAGCCAGATTCCCGTTTGAGGTTTCAGGCAGTGTTTTTCTTTTTTGCAAGCACCAGAATGAAAAACTGGTCCAGTGAAATCGTTTATACATAGCTTTTGTTTTGAGGAGTTCACTGTTGCGTTCCATAGCTTAATTTTTCCACTGCTATGCAGATAATATTGACTTGGCACATGTTTTTGCTGTAACCCCATAATTGACTCTATTGATCTGGATCTGAATATAGAATGTTTCAAATTTAAATACCACGGTGTAGGTCCTCCTCTTATGATTGAAGCTAGGTCAATCTATGGTCTCTCCAGAGCCAATAATCTCCACCAAGCATCATGTCATCTGAGCACATACTCTTTGGCACACAGGTCAGGCCTATCATCTCTGGCACTGATTTTGATGCTACAGACATATAGCCAATCATAATAACCATGGTGATGTGCTGCATGAGTAGGTGGGTTCTTGAATGGCTTCAGGAAGTCTATGTGTAAATATTGCAACCTGCTGGGGCGAGTCTCTGCATTTGTGCATAAAAGTACAAGAGACTATTCTGTTTTGTTTTTTCCTACTAAAAGATGACAAACAAAGCGATATAGCAGTGATGAGGTTATGGAGTTCTAAAATGCATTTTCAGATCAGGAAATGTCTGATAAAGACAAGTGACATGTCTTCTTTGGCCTCAATGTAATATGTTTCTTGAAGAAAGACATGTTCTTGACAAGAGAAACTTTTCTATCCATCTACTGTTTGTTTATGTTTTATATAGAAATACTTGTGAAAAGTAAGGAAATATCATCTTTCAGCTGTTTGGAGGTGTGGGGTTCTTTTTTGTGCATTCTCAGACTCTATTAGGTATGCACGATATTTTTAGCATGGTATCGGTATCGGCCGATATTAGCGTTAAAGTTCAATATTGGACATCGGCCATTCCATCAAAATAACTCACTGATATAAAAGGCGCTGTTTTTGTGTGACAACCCATTGACAAGGATGCCTGCAGCGCCAGCATAACGTTATGACGTCATACGTGCCTACCTGATCTGATCATGATCTCAAATCCAATATCGTTCATCCCTACTCTTTACGCTCAACCTACTGTATTTCATTCATGCTGACAGTAACTGTGGCTAGAGAACATTTATTCATCACCTTTCATTATAACCCTCTCTGATGACTGGATGTTGAAACATTCAGGTGTTACAGCCTTCTGATGTTTGGATCCATTTGGAGACTCCACATGGTTACTTTAGGAACACATGGTCATATTTGCAGGAAAAACATCCAGAACAGTTGTTTGTTGTGCTATTGCCATAAAAGTTGGCTTATCCATTGGTAATAATCATTTGATTTTCCAGTTCATCCCTCCGTCTCTCCATTTGAAGCATTTTTTTTTAAATCCAGCCAAGAAAAAACGTTTTCTTTTTGTTTGTTTCAACTTCAATAACTACACACTAGTTATAGTCACAATAATTTTGAAAGCCCTTTTTTCAAGTATTTACTGCTTCATAAAAATTAAAGATCGTATGAAATATGTTGTGAGGAAGATGTTTATTTCCTAAATTCAGCTTTTTTTGTCTTGCCTTTTGCAGTGCAGTTGGAACGCTAGGAGCATTTCCTTTCCTAATATTTTATGGATGTATCACTGTGTGGAAAATAAACTCAGATTTATTTTTTTATTTTGTAGATTTGACATTACTGGTTTTTTTTGTTGGTCACTGAGGAAACGGGTATTTTTGTTTCTTGCCTTTTTATCCATGATATTCCCTTTTTATATCGTCTGTTTCCTTTTTCCCCTTTTCGCTCATCTTTCTCTTAGGTGCTTTTCTTGTCGCATCTGCTGCAGCAGGCTGGTTCAAATGGTTATTGACAGGGAGTGCTGGGGATTTGTGGTTGCACTTATCACTAATATGGAATCCAGTGCCCTTGGGTCCCTTCTCTGCTTCTTGAACTCACTTCATCCTCTTCTCTTTTATTGTACTCTCAAGCCTTCCTCTTTTTGTGTCTTCTTTCATGTGTGAACTAATATCTTTCTCTTCCGTTTGTCTGTTTTGATTTTTTTCTTTCCTTCTCTGAGGCACTCTCTGTTTTGATTTCTCTGCAGAACAAGCTGAGGACCGGGGGATAAGGATAAGAAAGAGAACGAAGGAGCAATGCAGAGTATATTGGGAGGGGTTGTTGATTGACGGACTGACACAATAAACTGGAAGAATGAGTCAGCACCAAGACACACACCTTCAAAACCCTTTGGAGAACCAAACCAGACTGGAGGCACTGCACACAAGGAGAGAGAAATAAACACCTTAATTTCTCAGTTCCTACTTCCTTTTCTACCTCTTTTTCCCTTTGTCTATCTCTGCTATGGTTATGGTACAGTAACGGTACTGCTATCTGATGTTTTGGAGATTTAGCAGTGGACCAACAGCTTGAGCTTGGTCTTCTATTTTAACTAAGTTTTAACCAGAACCACCTCAAGAACACCAGCTATCTCTGCCACAGGTCCCTTAGGTCAGTCTCCACTCACATTAACCGTTAAAAAATTAGGTGTTCGTATAATTATAAGTCAGTCCTGTTGTGTTCTCCATGATTTGTTTCCTTTCTTCCTTGTGCACTATGGTGTGAACAAATACACATACACAGTACATCTGTTTATTTGATTTTGTGTGGCTTTGTGTTACTCCTAAAATTGACATCAGCATTCACCAATTCATCAGAAGAAATAAAAGCGAAAACGATGGAAAAGTGTTGTTGATTTTTTTTTTGTTTATTTTAGTTGTTTATTTAGTTTGTTTTTTTCAGTTTGATTTTCTGTTCATTAACTTTTTGCATCAAGCTTTAAAATGTGTCGGCTCATTTTGTTGAGCGACGAAGAAGGAATTTCTGTCTTTAAAGAACTTTTCTGTTTAAAAAAAAAAAAGATCTTTACGTCGTTTTCACAGTTCCAGACAGGACAACTGGGTGAGTAGGTGTCTGATGTACTGAGGCTAAAGGTCCTCAAAGCAGCAGGTTCTTGTTTGACATCTAGCTGCAGGCCTTTGCTTTCTTTTCTTAGTTCACCTTTCTGTGTCTCCACTTGTTAACTAATAGCAAGAAATGTCCAAAATATTAAAACCTAAATAAATTCCTTTTATAAAACACAGAAAAGCTGTTAGTCATTGGGTTACAATGGAACAAATGTGATGGTAATTTCAGTTTCTATCAATTGCAATATATTTTTATGTGCAGACAGTTTTAGATTTGAAAACATGGAGCAGATGGGTGACCTTGACTGCATTAGCTGCTTCCAGTTTCTGTAAAACTACGCCATTGGACAACCACAATATTTTACTAAACATGGAAACAAAATCTCTCCTGGAGCTGCATGCTTTTTTGTCTCCACAACAACAACTGCACTTCATTGTATAAATAACATTATATAAATGACATCTAGGTTTATTTAAAGTACATTTTATAAAAGTTTCCACACATTGTTCCTGAACATGCCAGTAAACTATGGTTCTACTATATACATTAAGGTTCAGTAAGCATATTAAAGTTGCAACTCCCTGTGATTTACCACTGAGTTTGTATAGAATATGTACATAAAATACTTATATTTCAATTTGCATTGTGTAATGTTCCAGTTTGTTTATAGGGTATGACTCATTAAGTTTATACTTTCTTCAATTCTGTTTTTAATTCAAGGTTTTTTTTCTATTTCGTCTTGTTTACTTTTATTTATTGTATGTTTCTTTCTAGATGTATCTAATCCAGAAGTTTATTTATTCAATACATTTACACTGTCATGGCATTACTTGACTATAATAAAAATCACACAATTTCAGTGGAATTTGAAACAATAATTCAACAAACAATGTCCCCAACAACAAAGCTGCATGAAATAAAATTGTTTTAAATATAAGAATTGATTAAACAATTTACTTTTTTTCTGTTCGACATAAAGTATTTCCAATCAGGTTTTGTAAGTGGAAAATAAGTATTTTTTTCTCTCCCAGTCCCAGAGTCTCAGCCTAACGTTGCCTGGGATGACACCAACTCAGACTTTTTCATTCTGCCAGAGTCTTGGTTGGATTTCATGAAATCAAACTGAGTGATTGATTCAGCAGTATGAACGGTGGTAAAGGCTGCAGCAACCGTCCAAACGTTTTTGATGGTGAAGGAGAACTGATCTTAATTCTCCATCAGAAGAGGACCATTTGTGATGGGCGGAGCCTGAAGAGCCATGCGTGTGTTTGTGTGTGTGCGCGTGCAAATTTGTTATGACTAATCTACCTCTGCTTGTCCGTCAGCTGTTTCTCTGCTTTTTTGACTTGTGGTGATGCAAAGATCTTAGGAGTTGATTTCTGATGAGTGTGGATGTGAGGGGGCGGGGCTTTCTAAAGCTTTTGGATAATAGAGGATCACGCCAGGTGTTGCTCTGTAACACGGAGTTCATTTTCTCCTTTGCCTTACTTTTTTCAAAGATCACCGAACCAAGTATAAGCTATTTAAAATAATGGTCTGTCTTTAAAGAGATTACATACCATAATGTAGTTTAATTAAACTTTGTTTTAACCATGACAAATGGACATTTTTAAGCTTAAATGTCTCCACCATAATCCTTGATTCTCTTAAAGCAAGCTATGAACATTTGCGTAACGATAAAATGCAGTGATATATAATAAAATTTTATTCTAAGGCAGTTTTGGTACACCTACACGATCAAAACAATTGTCAAAAAGTGGTGGATAAACTGAAAAAATGTGTTTTTCTCATCTTGAGTTTAAAAAAAAATCTAAATTTGTGTTTATTTCTTTGCATTTCATTCTGTTTCAGTGCCCAATGCTGGATTAAATCCTCATGTAACCATTACCTGAAGCCATATATTTTTATCTTTTTCAGTGCTACAGTAATCAAGATGAATGAGTCGTCCTGAAGCCAAAAGCATTTAATAACCTTTGCAGACAGTTCTCTCATTCAGCTCCATTCGTCTTCATAATATTTAAAGATCTCAGGTCATTATTATAGAAAGCAGGTCCACTGTACAGAAAACAATAAAAGGTTTGTTGTTAGCTTATCTGATGATAAAATACAATGAAAATGTTTCACTTGTATTTATTTACAGTATTTTCTAAGTAAAGTTAATAATTATTCTAATCAAAAATAAAGTGTAATGGATCAATATTTTTTTTTTTAAATGTGCCCAGTTTATTTGATTACAGCTGAAAATTGCTTTTCAGAACTTGCATCATAGTAATGCTGAGTAATTAATATATCAAGACATTTTTATGAATGATTTACATCTGATTCAGCTGCTTCTCTGTTCAGTTCAGAATTTCTGACTTATCCTTTTGAGAAAACCTTTTGGTCTTTCAAGGTTTTGAGATCCCGCTTCGTTTTCATTCAAACGTCTGAACGAATACATGAAATTCAACTATTTATTCCTGTTTGTCGATGCTTTAACCTTTAATGGTAAGAAAATTAACCTTTGATGCAAACAATTGTGCACCACTTGCCAAAGGAATTTTAAAAAGTTATTCTGCTGCACAAAAGTAAATATTTACCTGTTAAAAATACAAGGATAAATCCCCTCTGAACGGACTTTTTATAATCAACACGCTGTTTCTTGAATCTGTGTCTTGCTTTTTAGTAATTTTCCATTTCAGTTTTGACCTGATCTCTCTTGAAAGTTTTCAAGATTTCCAGAAAACCGTTTTTCTTTTAAGTCCTTAATCTCTGATATCTTCTCCATTTCTGTCATCTATACATGTATCAAGTGCTCAGACCTATCATGACACGTGTATTTCCCCCTAACAAGCCACATTAGTTCTTCTGCCAGCCCTCTTTGTCATGATTATCTCTGCCCCAGATAAAGCAGATTGTTATGATAATTGTTCTTTTAACTGGAGTATAAAAGAAGACCTCTGAAGGTCAACGGCACTGTCAAAAACTAGAGGCTTCTCTGTTTTGTTAATGGCTTCAGATCGGACACATATGGCTCACAGCAGAATGTCTTATAACAACATGGCACAATAATGAGTCAAACGGTGAACACTGGAGGGAAAGTATTGACAATTCTCAAGATTTTGGTTTTACTTGGAAGAAGATCCAGCAGACTAAACAAACTAATACTTTTGTAAAGATGAGTTGCTCTGCAGTTAAGAAGTTGTTTTTTGTTGTTAAAGCAGTTTAAATAATTACGTATTCAGTGCATCAGTCAAGTATTCACAGCACTTCACGTTTTCTACATTTTATGTTGCAACCTTATTCCAAATTGTATTAAATTCATCTCTTTCCTCAAAATGCTATGCAAAATACCCCATTATGACAATGTGG